TTTTTACGATTTTGATGAAAAAAAAGTTTTTTATTTTGTCGGAAAAACACATTTTTTGGCTTTGACGGAAAAATATATTGTTTGGTTTTTGTGGAAAAATGCAGTCTACTCATTTTTTCATGAGTTACAAAATGATATTAGGTTTAGGTATGTAGTTTGTGAATTATATTAGGAGAATAATAGATATTATACCATTTTGGCAAAACCAGCTACATCCAAATGATTCAAATTGGTACATTTAGATAGACTTTAAAATTAAATCTATACTTTAAAAAGTCATTCAGATGAATCATTCACATGATTTGTATTTTTAATGTCTAAATGAACAAAACTCTCATCTCCATTTAGATGGTTCATCTGAATGAAGAAACAAACATCTCCTATGTCTTCCAAACATTCTTATTAACTTTTGTAATTACTATTTTACTTCTTATAATTTTATATCTTAGACAACATATAAGACACATTAATAATATTAAAAGAAAAAAATATTACAATAAATTTTGAGATATCTTTCATCACAACCCACATGATCAATGTTATAAAAAAATTTAGTTTTAGATTTTGTACTGATAAATGTTAGCCTTTTCTATCTACATAATAAATAAAATTTTATTAATCACATAAACAAATTTTTGTATTAATGATCGTGTTATCTACGCTCTGTTTTATATTTTCTATTTATTTAAAAGTTTTAATTTTGATTAATTTTATTAATAATGAATATTATAATGAAGAATATAATATTATTAAGTTAAACTTGAAATAAAAAAATTGGAGAGAAACGTCTTTAAATTCCAAAATAATTTAAAGTGTTTACCAATTTCAAAAAAGTAAAACTGCAAGAACATTTTTGGCAAATGTGTGTTTATTATTTTTTTCTCAAATCTGATACAAAGAGAGTTGAAATATATATCAAAATGAAGCGATGTTACGGATTGTTGCTTTAGACTGTGGTTTTAAGCTTTAAGTTGTAGAGACTTTGGTTTTTAAAACTTTGGCTTTTGTTTAAAACCTGAAATTGTGGCTTTAGAAAAACATGAACAAAATAAAAGAATCATTTAAAAAAGTAGTTTTAGAAACTTTACACCAAATTTTAAATGGTGTAAAACATAAAGTCTAATTATTTAAAATTTTGATTTTAATTACTTTACAAAACCTAAAACCTATAACCAGAGAGAATACCAATCGGACCCCAAGTCTTAAGTAGCTAATCAAGTCTATTTACTTTCTTACTTTTATTATCGTATTTTTTTTCTTCTCAAATCTGATACAAAGAAAGTTGAAATATCCCCATATACATTAAAAGAGAAGTACATTTGCCACATGACACTCATACAGAGCTTCTCAGAAGAATTCTCTTAATCTTATTGGTTGATTTTTTTAGAATTTCTTTTTTGATTTATTTTTATCATCGACAACCTAATAAGAAAGCAACACTAATTACTAACCTCATTACATATTACTTGCACAAGAATATTAATTAATACATGTATTAATAAGTTTCCTTATTACAAATACGGTAAACCATTTACTCTTGATATCATATTGATTACATTGCTTAATGACATTTAACAATTTGTATATAATTAGGAAACTTATTTTTATTAACTTACCTTACTAATATTGATTACTTGCGCAAGTTAAAATCATATCATATGCATATCATTTTATGACAATACACATTTAATATCTTTCCTTAAAGGATTTCATTATTTATTGTAAGAATATTACATTGGCGTCAATAATATGAGAACATTCACTTTATATATTTAGAGGTGAATCTAGAGGTCTTAAAACAAAAACCAACTTCTGCAGACGGATCATGAAGCTCAGAGACGTCAAATCCCTTGCGATTTTGTTCTCTTGAAGAGGTAAGCTTCACAACTCTACTAATTCTTATTTGCTTTTCTTGTATAATGTGACATGAAGGGTGAATGTTTATTTTGAGCTTTTGAAGGATTTAGCTTGTGTTCCACATTATTTTTAACACCCATTGNTGCAAATACCTTAGTTTGACGTAATGTTGTCTTTAGACTCTGTTTTTTGTAATGAACTCATTGTTTCTCATATAACACAATTCTCGGCAACAGTGGACAGATGAGGTGACTGCAAACTCGCGGGATACAAGTTGTTCACTCGTCCTGGAAATCCAGTACTGCTCATTTGTTCTGAACTCATTGATGCTGTAGTGATCCCTTAAGTCTTTTGGACCACAAAAAGATCTGGCGTTAATAACATTTTGTTTGCCTTGGTAGTGATTTACGTCATAAACATTAACAAGTATCTTATAAGTCCATATATAATAGGTATCTTAATGTTATAAGATCACTGTTATTAGCCCATATAGCTATATTTTCAATTAGTTATTTTTTTATAATAAATTACACTGGTTGCATAATTTCAATCTGAAGAGTATTTACTTCACGATTTTAAATGTAATTTACCATGTTTGTAATTTGTTAATTTTTTATTAATAACTTATCTTATTTTCATTGCGGATTACTTGCGCAACTTGGTATCATATTTATTGCTTTGTTTACCGTTAGTTAATTCAGTTTTAATAACTTACTTATATTGAATACGAATTACTTGGGCAAGTTGATATCATATTTACTGTAGAGTAATTTATGACAATATAATAGGTATCTTAATGTTGTAAGATCACTATTATTAGTGCATATAGCCCATCTTTTAATACTTTCAATTAGTTAATTTTTTATAATAAATTACACTGGTTGCATAATTTGAATCCCAAGAGTATTTACTTCACGATTTTAAATGTAATTTACCATTTTTGTACTTTGTTATTTTTTTATTAATAACTTACCTTATTTTCATTGCGGATTACTTGCACAACTTGGTATCATATTTATTGCTTTGTTAAAATAATTTACCTTTAGTTAATTCGGTTTTAATAACTTATCTTTTATTGAATACGTATTACTTGGGCAAGTTGATATCATATTTACTGTAGAGTAATTTATGACAATATAATAATCATCTTAATGTTGTAAGATCACTATTATTATTTCATATAGCCCATCTTTTAATATTTTCAATTAGTTAATTTTTTATAATAAATTACACTGGTTGCATAATTTGAATCCCAAGAGTATTTACTTCACGATTTTAAATGGAATTTACCATTTTTGTACTTTGTTATTTTTTTATTAATAACTTATCTTATTTTCATTGCAGATTACTTGCGCAACTTGGTATCATATTTATTGCTTTGTTAAAATAATTTAACTTTAGTTAATTCGGTTTTAATAACTTATCTTATATTGAATACGGATTACTTGGGCAAGTTGATATCATATTTACTGTAGAATAATTTATGACAATATAATAGTTATCTTAATGTTGTAAGATCACTATTATTATCCCATATAGCCCATCTTTTAAATATTTTCAGTTAGTTAATTTTTTTATAATAAATTACACTGGTTACATAATTTGAATCCCAAGAGTATTTACTTCACGATTTTAAATGTAATTTACCATGTTTATAATTTGTTAATTTTTTTATTAATAACTTACCTTATTTTCATTGTGGATTACTTGTGCAACTTGGTATCATATTTATTGTTTTGTTTAAATAATTTACCTTTAGTTAATTTGGTATTAATAACTTACCTATTGATTACGGAATGCTTTGGCAAGTTGATATCATCTTTACTGCAGACCAATTTATGAAAATATAATAGGTATCTTAATGTTGTAAGATCACCATTATTAGCACGTATAACCCACCTTTTAAATATTTTTCATTTTTCAGTTAGTTAATTTTTTAATAATAAATTACACTGGTTGCATAATTTCAATCCCAATAGTATTTACTTCACGATTTTAAGTGTAATTTACCATATTTGTAATTTGTTAATTTTTTTATTAATAACTTACCTTATTTTCATTGCGGATTACTTGCGCAACTTGGTATCATATTTATTGATTTGTTTAAATAATACCTTAATGTAAAATCAAGTCTTACTGCTAACATCAAATTTATTTTATTTACTTTGCAGAAACTTATCAAGTCTTGAGCTTTGGAGCGCTTTGAAACATACTTGATTGATTGNTGGTATCATATTTATTGATTTGTTTAAATAATACCTTAATGTAAAATCAAGTCTTACTGCTAACATCAAATTTATTTTATTTACTTTGCAGAAACTTATCAAGTCTTGAGCTTTGGAGCGCTTTGAAACATACTTGATTGATTGAGTTCTCTTACAGAATCTGTCAAATTATATATACTGTCAATTATGTTCGTGTTTCGATGAGATTATTTTAATTTATAATTGTTCTTCTTATTTTATATTACTTATGAATTATATTTAAATTTTTATCACATTTTCTATGGGATTGTGATATCTATGAGATTTTTATCACATTTTTAATGTCACTGTCTACTGTATATTTTTCTTACATTTATTTTTTAATAATTAACTTTTATTTAAAACATACTAATGATGTTAATTTTTTTTTACTTTAGTTAACTTTTATTTTTTTTATTCTTATATACTTTTTGTGACTTTTTTATTTTTTTTTTCAGTTTAATATTGAATTTAGTTCACATACTTTATGTGTATATGTTTTAAAACATAATTTTTCTTTTAAAAAATTAAGCGATAAAGAGCCTAATTAAACTGATCCAAAAACAAACCCGAACTGAATATAAATTGAATTGGGCATAAACAACACCGAACCAGACTAAATAAGGTTTATTTCAGTTGAAAAAATATATTAAAACTGAACTAAACAAACCAAACCGAAAAAGTAACTATTTGCCCACCCCTACTACATCCTAGAGATTTGCGCAAATCTTGTCTCCGCATTGAAACTCTCAATTATTCCCTTAACTTCCATATTTGAACTCAATAGATACTCCTGTCTCAGCATTATACTATATTTTTATACCCGCACAGGGTGCAGGCCGGTCACCTAGTATAAAAATAAAGGGATGGTCAGTCTTCAATAATCAAGTCTGTTTACTTTCTTACTTTTATTTTTTTGGTCAAATACTTTCTAACTTTCTTCGTATTTCCCCCAAGAAAAAAAAAAGAAGAAAGATGTGGATGGAGGTCATCTTTGGTCTCGTAATCTACAAACTCGTCCGCCGTTTCTTCAAAGACGACGAGATTTCCGATGACGGAACCTCAGCTTCCACCGCTCTCTTCTCCGTTGCTCACAGGTAACCCTCTCTTTTAACCCAATTCACTTCATTGATTGGACTATATTGTTAACAAACTGAGTTTTGCAGACTTGAAAAGCTTTATGGTGGAAAAGCTTATGTAGGCCTTCGTATTCCAGATGCAGACACTTCTTCTAGACAGGACATAGATGTTGTCCTCCTCACTAAAGGGTAACTAACTTTCTCTCTCTCTCGTTTATCTCTCTCTGACCTTCCAATATGTGTTGACTTCATATTTTCGTTTTCAGACAAGTTGTGGTGATCAGTGTCAAGAATCTATCTGGGAGTGTTACTGTAACCAGCGATGGAAGCTGGGTTTGTGAAGGTGGGAAGCATCATACAACTCAGACTTACCCTGATCCTGTACGTCACTGCAATGATTACAATGACTATGTTTGTCGCTTTAGTAGATTGTTATGAAAATAGTTCAGGGCTGCTGTGCTGATAAAACTGTTACTTTGGCTCTTCCTTAGAGCATCTCCAACCTTATCTTATATGTGCCTCTATAATAGTATTTAGAGGCATATTTACTACAACTCAACTCTATTTGTTTCTCTAAAGTAATAGATTGTTATTTTTTTTTCTATAAATAGGGGAAGAGTTCTCTATTTTCTACTCTATAATTAGAGATTGCTATTTTAGACGAATACATATGTTAGAGGAAACTCCACCTCTATTATAGACTTCTTCTCTTCTACTAGAGGCGGAAATAGCAAAATACATTAGAGATGGTCTTACACATTCCTAGACAATAATACAAGATTATATGTTTGATTCATTGAAATCTCTTATGTTTTTTTTCTTGACTAATAGAGTTTATGTTTTCTCAGCTGGCTGAGGTCAAGAAACAAGCTTCAGTTCTTGAATCATATCTTGAACAAAGGGGCGTTAAATTACTAGAAGGAAATCTGTCTTGCAAAGTTGTAATTCCCAATCCAAACTTTCGGTATGTATTGTTTATCTTTGCGACATGCCTATGTTTGTCATGACAAAGAAAGAAACATCAATACTACTTGCAGACCCTTTTGAAGTGTGTGGGCGAGTGACTATTCCACCCTCTAAATATATATTCTTTGGTTTTTCTAGTGATGCAAAAACTTGTCTGTTTATTTCAGTACAATGCATGCATTTCCGAGTGAGGTAATTACCTACCAAGAGTGGCAACATCTGAAACCAGTATCAAGGAACATACTTCCTGGTTGGGTGAAAGGCGCATTGTGCACAGGAAACGACACGCAGGAATTTTCGCATCAAAAACTTAACTTCATCCTTGCCACTGCACCAATGTGGGATAGGTCATAATACCTCTCTTTATATTTCTTGACATTTAACATATAAGTTTTTGTTCTTAGGTTAGTGCTGTTCAGAGAGTTATTCTTTTTTTAAAAAGGTTTTGATTGTGATGCAGGGTGGAGCTTAAAGGTAGCAAGATTGTGTTAGGAGAGTTCCTTGAGTTCAAAGGAAAGCAGGAAGATACTTTGGCTTTGAAACATATCAAGAGATCAAAAGTTGACCGTATCTCTATTCAGCATACAAGCATGCTTGGATTCGGTAAATTTCTCTTTCTTTTAGACTTCAAAACAAAATTCATTATCTTCTTCCATTTTAACTAATGAAATGTAAAGGTAGAAATAAAGTGTAATTAATTTTTTCTTTTTAAAAAAAATCGTGTTTGTAGCTCCGTCGAGGTTGCAGGTTGTATACTCGTATAGGGACTACAGAAGTGAAGGCAGGTCAGGAACAGAGTCGAAGGAAGTGACTGTAAGGTCGAGCACCGAGCTTGTGTTCCGGCCACGAGACTCCACAAAGATTAAAAAATTCAAGCTCTCGTCCCTCCTCTCCATTTCACTAAGTGCCTAACTCAACACAACCTGTTTACGGAAAGGATATCTTTCTGTTTTAGTGTCTTTGCTTTACGCTTTAAACCAGTGAGGAACATTCAAACTAATCTCAAGTTCTTACCTAAATTGTAATTGATGCCATCATAAAGACCAAACGTCGCAATTTCATTCAAGGCTTCATTGAAAAATCATCACAATTGAGAAAGGGACTGTGTCAATCATTTGCGAAGATCAAAAGCACTCTGACACACAACAAAACTCATAGACAGTAGTATCACGCAAGATCACAAGCCAATTATTTCATTCCAACTCTATGGTACGTGAGATTATTTACATGACGTTTTTTTTTTTTTTTTAAAAGAGGCTTGTGGGAGAGTTCAGTCGTCATATGAAATGTGAGGGCTGGTGACACAACCGGGTGCATTAGGATCCTCTGCGCCGCAACAATCGTAGAACTTGGCTGCGTAGGGTGGATCATCTGGTCCCAATTCATAGTACCTTCATTTCGTCAAATACTCTCAATTAATAATCAGGACCAAGTGATGCAACATAATTATCAAAGTAGAAGGGCAGCCATAAACACCACAAATAAACTCATCATCAGCAAACCGAGGGGACAGGAGAAGACAACATACTCTTACTTATATAAAAACACACAAGGAATAAGAGAGCACTAGAAACTTATCAGAACTTATGCCTCTTCAAGCTCAACTATCTCCAATTAGCATATAATTTGTGTACAATTAGTTAGTTTGGAAACATAAATCAACTTTTTGACCCTAATTGATTGTTGAAACAAAATCAACTGCCAATAATCTAGAACAAGGAATTAGTGTCCTAATTCTTCAAGCTGTTGGGATGTAAGAATTGCATGGATTTAGGGTTGCAGGGGAGAGATAACCTTTTCTGGTCATCGTGGCGACGACAAACGAAGAAGGAAGGATGAAAACGGCAAGAGGAAGCGTTGTTCGACGAATCTCTGTAGCTAACCTTGCACCTCCGGCATAACTTCTCCACCTCCTTCGTCTCTTTCTCCATTTCCTCTTCTTCGATCAACAAACTCTCACTCCTAATTTTTTTGTTGGAAACAACTCAAATAGACCCGGACCCGTTTAAGGGTAGAAATTTCCAAAAAAGATAAACACTAAAAAAGAACCATTAATAATGGGCCTAGATTTTAATGCCCATTACTTCACTGTCGCTAATGGGCTTAGTCCACGAAAGTTGAGTTTAGACTTGTCTAATATATGGAAAGTCCATCATTGGAATCCGGATACTCCCTCCATTTCAAAATAATTGTTAGAAAAAATTTCGTTACAAAATAAGTGTTGTTTTAGAGTTTCGAAGCAAATTTATTAGTTTTATATGATATTTTATATTTTTTATTGGTTAAAAAGTGGTTAAATGTATAGGTAATTGTGTTTTTATTTTGAAAATATGTAAAATTAAATGTTTTTTTAATCTGTGTGTAAGAACACAATTAAAATGAAACGGAGGGAGTATTAGATAGTAAAACTAAAATCGGGTTCGTTAATCTAAAGCTCTACAGAGGTTAAGGTTCCTTTCCTCCTTCCTAACTTTCGGTCAATTGATTTTTACTTGTGGAGAGTTTATCGCGTGATTGATTATAGTGTCTGAGGCTAACTATGGCGGCAGAGCAGAAGGCGACGACTGAAGAAGTAAAGATGGATCTGTTCGAAGACGACGATGAGTTCGAGGAGTTTGAAATCAACGAAGGTGACTTTCTAATTCTTTAATTCATCGTATGTGATTTTGGTTCTGAAAGATAAGAGAGAATCAGATTCTGCTTGTTAGTTATAATATCTTGAGTTTTCTTTGGTTTTGGTTTTTGTTCCTTTTGATAAAAATACAAAAGGTAGAATCTGGTTAGAAGAATATGGTAGAGTTCTCATGTGGAATCTAGGGCTTGAGATAGCGTTGTGCTTGTATCTAAGGACCTTTCTTATATATGTTTGAGCAGATTGGGTTGAGAAAGAGGAAGTGAAGGAAGTTAGTCAGCAATGGGAAGATGACTGGGACGATGATGATGTCAATGACGATGTAACGCCCCGACCGCCCACGGCTAATGGGCCACCCACGCCCGCTCTCTCGGCCCGTGGGCCCCATCCCGTTCCAACAGTCGGTCTATTAATTTTCCAAGGCTCTAGAGTCATGTTTACTGACCCTGCAATCACCACCCGACCTTTCCCCGTGCTTTGGCCTCACTTACACGGTATCGCAAATCACTTCCCGATAGGTCACCCATCCTTAGACTACTCCAGCTCAAGCACGCTTAACTCTGGAGTTCTCTCTGGATGTGCTCCCGAAAAGGTAAGTGCACTTTGGTGACATAGGTAGTCAAACAATTCTCTTAAGCCTTTTCGTATATCAGAATTCGGGATGTTACAATTCACCCCCTCTCAAAGAACGCAACGTCCCTGTTGCGCCCCCGACAGGTCTCAAGACGCCTCTCAGGTCAGAACTGAGATGGCTAACCAGCTCTGATACCACTTGTAACGCCCCGACCGCCCACGGCTAATGGGCCACCCACGCCCGCTCTCTCGGCCCGTGGGCCCCATCCCGTTCCAACAGTCGGTCTATTAATTTTCCAAGGCTCTAGAGTCATGTTTACTGACCCTGCAATCACCACCCGACCTTTCCCCGTGCTTTGGCCTCACTTACACGGTATCGCAAATCACTTCCCGATAGGTCACCCATCCTTAGACTACTCCAACTCAAGCACGCTTAACTCTGGAGTTCTCTCTGGATGTGCTCCCGAAAAGGTAAGTGCACTTTGGTGACATAGGTAGTCAAACAATTCTCTTAAGCCTTTTCGTATATCAGAATTCGGGATGTTACAGACGACTTCTCCCTTCAGTTAAGAAAGGAACTTGACACTTCTTCTTCCGATAAGAAATGAATGAATCAGCTCTCTCAAGATTGTATTTGAATTGTTTTGAGCCTTGACCTTTGTTACCCTATGCACATTTTTACCCTATATTGATTTATGATTATGATTCACTCTAAAAACATGTTGTGTTTGCGTGGCATCGTTATGGATTTTCGGTTGTAATAAGAACTCAACGTCTACTAGAAGCCTCTAGCACTGGGATCGAATGCAATAAAGGAAAAAGGAAAAAAAACAACAGCCACTGAAATCATTTTTATCTTATACTTTGAACAACAGCCAAACGTAAATCGGATCTTGCATAGGGTTTACTCGTATAGATCTCCCTCCTACATCTTCAAAACTCCTAAGAGAGTGAGTAAATTTGAACGGACCAAAAAAAACACACCCAAAGCTAAAAGCAAGCAGCTTTTGCTTCATTCAGCAAGCGCTAGCAACTTCTGTAACCCCGTTTTGTGATATCTCTTCAACCACTTCTGTTATCACACTAGTCTCCTCCTTTGCTTCGTCTTTTGGTGTTGCCTTTTTGTCACTGGCAGTCAAAGCTTGCTGAAAGATAAAAACAATCTCCATCAGAAATTTTATCATCTAGACAAAGACACAAACACAAAGAGTTTTATATTTCCTTACCTGTTTTTTATACTGCTGGTGCTTCTTTTTCCCTTCTTTGATTATCTTTTCACGACTCTCATAGAACACGAAATCATCGAGTATGCATGTCTTGCTCACATGTTCCTTGAAAACCTTGATCACTTTCACGCCTTGCTCCATCTTCACTTCCTGTGTATCTCGGCTATTTGTAACGGGCTTGTTCTCATTATTCTCCAGAGTTATATGCCTCAAGGAACTATTTGGGATGTCTTTAACGATGTGCCACTTCACAGGGAAGCAACCAGTCCACTTGTCCTGCTGCCAGTATTCCACTGTCTGGTTGAAATCAACTGGTCCTACCATCTCCGCTAAACCAACAAACTGCCCACTAGTGTTTACCTGTCAAAATCATTTAATCAGAACGGAACAAATCAAAATCCCCAAAGTCTTTGTTTCAACTTACAGAGAAGATGAGAAAAACAGGGCATGAATTCTCTCTAGTAGCTTCATTATAAGCAGCATTAAGCTTCTTGTTACCATTGGGGGTGCTGGACCACACATTATATTTGATGCTTTTGTGAATATCATCTTCACTGTACGATTTGATTACAAAGAGCTTTGCATTGGAGGAGTAAGTATCAGAGAAATCTTCCTTGTTGTATTCCTCCTTTGAATCTGTAACAGAAACATCTTTAATGATAGTTTCAAGCTGCCCAGTCTTGAACCCCTTGGCTCTTGGCCCTCTGTTCAGCTCGTTTAACCACTCTGCATTCTCTTTGCCGTACACGTAACTCTTTGTCTTGTATCCATTGTTAAACGCGTACCAGTTTGGAGTATACTTATAAGTGCCATAACCATAAGAATCATATCCATATCCATAGCCACTCATGTAAGGTCCATACATTGAGTACATGCTATCTATGTATCCACTGCTAGATCGTCCCTGATGCCATTAAATTCAAAATCAAGAACCTACAAAAACTCAATAAATATGGGAGACAGGTAGAAGTATACCAGGTAGGGAGTGTTGTTGGTCTTTCCAGAAGCATAGTTCATGTCATAACCATATCTTGGGTAATACTGATATGCTTGAGGAGGATAATAGCCACCAACATAAGAGCCCTTTTGAGCAGAGTTGTATTGGTAACCAAGTTTCTTCTTGGTTGAGCTGTACACATCCTGCAAAAATGAAATGGATTTATTACCACTTGGTCTCTAAATTGTAAATCACTTAGAGAAAGATGAATGATAATACCTTATTATTCCCAGTGTCAGTGACTTTGGCCATAGTTTCTTGATCAATGGACAGCAAATCTGCAGCTTCTATATAACAAAAATAATCAAGGAGTAACAATATTTCGAATTTTTGTAATGACATCAACAATCAGATCTAATCAACAGAGAACAAAGACAAAGGAACTTTCCTTGCAAGTAAACCCTGGTAAAACCCTCCTAAAATGAAAAATTTCCAATGAATTAAAATGGCGAGAAGCTACAAATCAATGTATGAAAAAAGGATACGATCAGAAGGAGAAATGGTAGTAGCCATGACTGTCTGTCTCTGCGGCGGAAACTTGAAGAGAAGAGAGGAAACAACAAAACCCTAGCAGAGTTTCATATTTTCACTTTATAATGACCGCTTTATTTTCCAAACTTTTAACGCCTACTATTAAACCGAACCGAAATAAATACCGCCTCAGTCACGGGTCAATGCTTTTTCATTTTTTTAACACCTATTTTATTTATAAATTTAATAATTAACTGAAAGTGTTATAAAATTTTCAATTTTTAAAATAAAATTAAATATAACTTGTATTTTAATGTAGTTTTTAGCTGATTGAATAATTTAGTGAATTATCTACCAGTTATACTTGTTAACTCTTAATTAATAATATATTTGTTGTAAATGGAATTAAAAAGAAAAATTTTACAATTGCAATATTAATTGGTTCCAAGCCAAAACTAAATTGTGAATATAAAATTTATCATTGACAGAAATAATTGAGTACGTCAGGAATTATAAATAATGGTGATTACCGGAATGCACCTTTTGTATTCCCCCAATGTGATCAAAGTAACTGAATCGAGTACATATTATACTAATGTTTTTTTCTTACATTGCACATACATGAAAACTAGACATACGATGGTAGTAATACATTCGTATTAGCATCACCATCTTTAATTGGTAGCCAAAAACGTAATTACATGAAATTATAAATCAAAACCACTTATTATGTAATGTAACGTTCGTACAAGCCATAATTATAACTTTATCAAAATGGAATCGCCTCCATATCCTCTGAACTGCTCGTCCACGTATCAGTTTCCGACGGAGGAACACTACGCCTCAGCAACCCAACGTCATGTCTCTCGATATCCACCACATCCTGGCCGATCTGCTCCTTAATCCCTCGCAAGATCCTCACGACCTCATCCATCGTCGGCCTCATCTCCCTCACCTGCTGCAGACATCGAAACGCAAGCTCAGCCACCGACGTCATCCTCCTCCTCACTTCTGGATCCTTTTCGAATCCTAGACTCGGATCCACGAGCTCGTGCACCGCGTTGTTTTGGATTTTGGTAACGGCCATTTTCGCGAGGTTCACGTCGTGGCTTTTTCTTGTTATGTCCACGGCTTCTTTGGAAGAGATGAGTTCTATTAGAACGACTCCAAAACTGTAGACATCACTCTTCTCGTTTAGACGGTAACATTGGAAATACTCGGGATCTACGTAGCCCGGAGTGCCTTGTGGTGCCGTGGAGACGTGAGTTTGATTCATTGGGAACAACCGTGAGAGACCGAAGTCAGCTACTTTCACTATATAGTTCTCGTCTAGAAGAATGTTTGTTGTCTTCACATCCCTATGTATGATCCCTGCAACAGACTTGAATCAATTATTCAACGACATTAATTCTCTAGTTAACCTAGTTTGGTATCATGCGGAATGAAACCAAACCATGGTCCATGCCGTTCAAACTAGCAGAACGTGCCGGGTTGGGTTTAGTAGATGGGCGAAACTAATTTTGTAATATATTGTTGATTTGGAATATTTTGTTTGAATCAGGTTTGTAATCGGATTTGAATTCCTTTTTATAGGGTTGAAATTTTCTAATTATTTTAAAAAGGTTTGGTATCATTGTTTAATTTACCCGATGTGTGGAGAAATGATAAACCGCTTGCTGTTTCGATGGCAATGTTGAGACGAACTGACCAGCAAAGAGGACGAGATTCAGCACGATCACCATGAAGATGATCGGCGAGTGTTCCGTTTGAGATATACTCATAGACAAGCAAAAGCTCTTTGCTATGTCTCGATGTGCATCCGTAAAGAATCACAAGATTTGGATGCTTCAACGATTTCAAGATCTCAACCTCGTTTTGAAACTGTTCAACGTGTTTTAGCGATCTTTCGTATAGTCGTTTCACTGCTACAGCTCGTCCATCCTTCAACATGCCTTTCAGAAAATTGCCAAATAGTATCAAAACTCAAAGCTTCTCAAGGAGAGATATGGAAAAAGAGAGAGAGTGGTTCTTAGTTACCGTAGTAGACTGTACCGAATCCGCCATCTCCGAGTTCTCTAGAGAAATTTTCAGTGGCTTCTTCAAGTTCTTCGTAGCTGAAGACTTGAACTCCAAAGTAGGTGCTTCTGTTTGCAAGATTAGAGACCGAGGGAGGCAGAGGGGGAACGGTGTAGGAAACTGTTGTGGAAGTTTGATTGTTTGATATTTCCCTACTCAAAGACGTGATGACCAAGTCTTTGCTAATGGATTGAGATGCCTTCGTTTTCTTTCTCCGGCTGAATATACAGAGCAAACCTCCGGCTATTAGAATGATTCCCACTAACCCCAAAGCAGTCCCGATCCCTAGAGATGGAAAAAAACAGATATGATAATGATTAGGCCGGTCATGAGATTATGAGGGTTGTAAACGAGTTAGTAAGTGTTTTAATAATTTGGAAGTTTATTTGCTGTGTAATGATGTTGCATTTATGGTAATCTGATTGGGTGAAGCAAATGAATATGAAAAGGGTAAGTACCTGCTCTCTTTCCCGTTGAGAGACCTGCATCAACAGAATGACACCAAGAAAAGGTTAGTCTAAACTTTTAAGAGAGAATTTTGTATCTTGCTCGAATTAGAAAAAACATGAAAGTTGTAAAGCAAGGGAGTTTCCGTAAATAGATATCAGATCAGATACTAGGGAATAAAGAACAAGGCTTGCATAAAAAGACTAGGTGTTATATTGTAATCAAAATCTGTTGTTTTTTTTTATAAAGAAGAGGACAAGTGTAGGTACCTGGTTTTGCTCTAGTAGAGAGGCCTGTATCTATGGTATGGCACCAGAAAAATGTTAGTTTAAACTAAATATGGAATTTGAATCTTTCTAGAAACGCCGGGACAGCCTTAGCCTAGTGGCTAAGGGGTACCCAAGGCACCGGGGTTCGATTCCGCCTTCAGGGATTCCTGGGTGAGATTTCCCCACGAGACAAAAAAAAAAAAAAAAAAAAAAAAAAAAAAAA